GGGATAAGAAAGCGATTTCAATGCTGATTAGCTATTGGGAGATGATTTATATCCCCCACTAAAAACATGACCTTTTACAGATGCAATTTGCTTTTCAGAGGAAAATTACTCAAAATTGCCCATATGCAGCCCCGGACCCTCCAGTGCCTTCTACTCAAACACTTCGAAGTGTCTTTTCCATTAAGTCCTCTGACTGTCCTCTCTCTGTATTTTCCAATCTTTCTGCTGTTTTGGTTCGGCTTGAGCCTCTGCCTGCTAAGTATATATCCCACTTGTCATTTGCGTTAATAAAACAGCTTTTGGGTAACAAGAGCTTGGTCTCTGGCATGACCGAGGTCCAGAGGTGAGGAGTGAGTATCATACTCCAACTCTACCAAAGCTTGTATGAAAGCAGCTGGTTTCATAAAGAAACTCAAGAGAAATAGAAAAATTGCACTTACCCCTTCAGCAACAGGAAGGAAGGTGTATAGAAGCAGAGAAGCGAATGAAGGAAACTGGGATGAGAGACCTTTTATACTCTTCCAAAGGGTTATCTGGGACATGAGACATCTCTTGGCAAGTGTAACCTAATTACATATCCCAGCCCATTTCTATCCGCTGTATTCAGCTTCCGACATTTTCCCTTTGATGCACTGTGCTTTTAGCACTGTAATTGTCCCATAGGTTATTAATAGCACTCTAATTCCCTCACCTCCCTATGAAAGAGATTGGAAGGTATTTCACGCAAAGTGACGCCAATACCTAAGAAACTAATGCATCTGGTCATGGACAACAAGTATCAAGCGGAAGAGACGTTTGTAATTCAGAAGTACCAATTCCTCAAGCTGTTCCGGGATGTCACATGGACCAAGAGCTAAATATGATCAACACCTCCATGTGAAAGAAAAATGTTTACTAATGTTAACTCATGCGGATTATGTTTAGCGCAGGAATACTCTAGCTGAATTACCCAATGGTACTGGGTATTTTAAAGAGACATTCGGCATTAGCCCAAAGATGTCCTTCACTGATAATTTCAACCTGTCTGCATGGTGTGTCCTATCAAGGATTTCTTTTATTCTTGTTATAGATGGTGTTTTAGTCTCATTCTGCAATATGGTGTTGATGGTAGTGACATCAAATCCCAGAGCAGAATGGTTTGAGGTGAACCCACCAGCCTAAGTCCTGCTCGCACTCCCAGAGGTGCAGTTATTCTTTGTTCCTCTTTTCCTCTGTCCTTCTTTAATGTACTTCTAATTCTTTTCCCCAGGATTTTAAATAAAACCTGTCTTTAGTTTACTTTCTAGAAATTTTTAGCAGTTGACGTTGTGAGAAGGTGGGCCATGTGCCTCCCTCCATAGTAAGGTGAAATCTTTAATTTCACAATAATGTTGAAGATGATATTTGGACTATTAGCTGGGACAGAGCGCTAAGTATTGCTGTCCTGCTTTCAGTACTCAGCCATGACATCTCTGCAGCTCTTACGGAAATATGCATTAGACAGGGCTGTAGCTCAAGAAAAAATAAACAAAACAGCGTAATGTGGTAGAGGTAGATGCTTCTGAGCCTGGATTTTCCCGTGAATCACAGATGAACTTCGGTCTTCCTTTCTGTGACTACGTACAGGTCATGCCCATCTAACGCAGCAATTACATTTTCTTGTCCCATAAAAGGCAAGAATGTGTCAACACTGGGATGGATTGTGGATTAGACGTCAGGCACAATTGATTTTGGGTGATGCTCTACTGACTCACGGGGATCCCTCAAACAGGTCCATTCACATCTGTGCTTCAGTATCACAATGTACAGAACAAACCTATAAATACTTTGCTGCAAAGTTTTATTTAGGCTGTAGTTAGACAGCGCCTTTAGAAATCTTTGATTGTCATATGAAAGAGAGAACATGGTAAAAATGAAAAAAGTGTGTCAGATGTAAATACGGGGAACCAAGGGCAGCAAACAAACCAGGCTGTGGTCAGGGGGGAGCAAAGCCCCATTCTCCAGGGGTGTCTCACTGCTGAAGCCTCCAGCTCTATAAAGTTCCCCTGTTTCAGGCCATTCCCTTCAGTTTGACTTTTCTTCTCCTGTCTCTCCCCTGTTGTCGACTAAGGTACGTGATTTGACTGATGATCTGGAACATTTATGGAAACTTATTTATAGACTGTAGCTCTGTGTTTACCCACTTGACTTGGCTCTGCCTAAAACCAAACTGCTTGTTTATTGTAAATAGTGCGAGAGAGAGATACTTTCTATGGAATATTTCTTGTATTTAATTGATAAATGACATCTAATTATTGAAAATAACAATAAAAATTAGGTTTTTGGAATAAATATTTCACTTGCACGAAAAATATCACAGTATCTAATACGTCATACAGAAGATATCTTATACACAATGATAAAACAGGGGAAAAAAAAAAGTCCAAATTTGCTGTAGTAAGCCTTCTATTTCTGGTTGGCCCTGCTTATCTTGAAGTGCAGTAGATAAAAAAATTGCATAAAAAGATATTGTCTTGCTTCCATCACTGAGCTACCTTTCCTTTAGGTGTACTCCACTGCCCAAAATGGCATGCTTTTCTGGGAGGGAATCCTTCTTCAACCTGAACTCAACATGGTATGATCCTGCAGGCTCCTGGTTGGACACCCGGCGCACACCCCTCCTCTATGCCTACAGCCCTGGCTGTGCCAGTGGCAGAGACTCATGCCGTGGCGGCCACGACTATCGGCACTATGGCTACCGCTGCTCAGTCTGCTCTGAGCCAGCACCGTGCCAGGGAAGCAGGTCTTCTGCCTGTGGTGGGGAGCTGGTGAGCAGCTACGAGGTGTGTGGGGCATGCCACAGCTATGGGGTATGCTCGGAGGGGTGTTACAGGGGGTGCTGCAATTAACGGGAGACCAGGTTGTGTGGGACCCTCAGCCTGGCGTGGTCTGGGACTCTCGTGTTGCAGCATCGCTGTATGCAACCACAATGGGACAGCCAGAAGTGCTGTGTAGGAGCCCAACACTTGCCCGACACTCGTTTAGTGCTGAGAAATGTGCTCTGCATGCTGGGCCCCCTTGCCTCTCACTTTTGTGATGTTTGCCTTGGGTTTATCACGCTTTTTGCAGTCTGTTTCTTGCCTGCTCTTCTCCTGCTGACTTGATTGAGGCACTGTCCAGAAAATGTCCTCTGCAGAGGTTGCCCTCAGCACAGGCATCATTGCTGCTGTGGCCTTCATGGCAGGGGGAAGGTGGGGACAAATTCCTGCTGAATTTATGCATTTCGCGTTCCTGCTTCACTTCCCAGGCATGTGTGCTGAGATAACAAAACTCCATCTGAGGAGAGATTTGCTGTCTCTATTCCTCAGGCTCTTCCTAAGTCTCTCCTTAAATGAATGACACAACCTGCAGCGCTTCAGCTTAGCTGAGAGCAAGAGCGTAGGTGAAAACTTGGACTGCTTCGAAAGAATTAAGGTAGGAGATTTTATCTCCCCTTCCCCAGACACTTTCAGTCAGACTCAAACCCAGCTTGGAGCCTCCAGTCTGGCTTGGTGTCAACCTCTTGTTTGGCACAGGATGGGTTTGGCACTGGCAGAGGGGTACCTGGGTGTCTGGGGGGACAGGGACCGTCAGTGGCACTACGCAATGCCTTCATGCACAGTCAGAGCTGCACGTCTCTGACCCTGACGTTCATTCCTTGCACCTGCAATCATGTACCTTACATATGGGAATTATGCTCCTTGTTATTTTAATTAACAGTAATAATAAAATAAGTGCTAATAATAAGTTTCTTGTTCTTTTCAAAGATTCAGTGCAAACCTTTTGCTAATTATATATCTAGCGCATTACACACAATAGTGCTCTCATTCCACAGAGGCATGAATTCCTGCAGCCATCTGCCTGCATGCTAGTGGACACTGGAGGAGAACCTGGGAATGAATCTAGTGCAATGGGAAATACAACTGCTGATTTTTATGGCCATCTGTCCATTTGATATTCCTTTTTTCTACATCTACAAGGGAAGCTCAGAACTTTTATGGTTTCTGCTGAGAAAAGTTAGCTTAAACCTTGGTAGGAACTGGGAACATGTTTTTCTTTCACAGTCTTTCTCTTCTTTTCCAGACATGCATGTTTACAGGACTAGAGTTCACAGTGGGAGTCAACGCTGCAGTGCATGGCCTGACTTAAACCCAGTTTTATTTTGCATCAGCCTGTATTTCCTCTAGGCTATATGGACTCTTGCTGGGATTTTCAAAGAAGGTAGAGTGACCTTGCACAAAATACATATCTAACCCCATATTCTCTATTTAAAACAGGTCAGAAGGAAGATTAAGTACGATGTAGTCCTTCCTCTGCTTATACTCTCTTGTTTACGGTGATCAGTGATTTTCAGACTTCCTAGATGGAGTCTGCTTTTGTGCTCACCAGCCATGTACGTATTACAAAGCCGAAGCTTCGCTTTTAGCTCCTCCTTAGTGCCTGTGAGGGTCTGAGGCTCAGGGCCAGTTGTCGCAGAGCCAAGGGCTGGGATTAACGAGAGGTGCTGACCTGCACCTTCAACCCCAGACAGCTTTTCCAAACCCAGCGTCTGGATTTATCTGGCAGATGCACAAGGTGTGGGGACTGGAGAACTGAGCTTTGACACATCGCTGCCACTGAAGTGCAATGAGAAGTGGAGGAAGCTGTGAAAAGCAGCTCTCGTTAATAAAGGTGGGCTTGGGAATGGTACTAAAGAGAAGGAGGAGGGTAACGGTGGAAAAACACTAGGACACAAGCATGTTTTTTGAGCTTTAGGTTTTAATATCACATCTTTGTTACTGGAGACAGAAGCAGGAAATTAATGCATTCAAATTCTTGCGCGTGCGAGGGCAAATCACGTTTCGCCATGCTAATGCCACTTTGCGTTATCAGGAGTGGGGAGAGGTAATATGTGCTGGAGGGAAGGGGCAGGACCTGCCCAAGCTCAGGGCTGCATCTTGCGGAGGAGAGAGGAGTGGCGCAGCCCCACGGTGTGTGCTGACTGTCGGCTCGTCCTTGCCCCTTCACTTCTGTTGCTGTGGGGGCCACTGCACTGGCTGCTTGATCTGCTGCTGCTGGCAGGGAGCTGGGACCACTGGCACCTGCCCGGGGCACTGGGGAGGGAGGACCACCACCGGCGTCACATCCTGCACGGCGCTCACTTCGTGGCAGATGACCTCCTCGGAGCCATGGCAGGACCTCTCGTTGTCGTGGCAGGAGGAGCCTCCGCTGTGGCAGGAGGAGCTCTCGGTGCTGTGGCAGCCTCTGTCTCCACGGGAGCACATTTTTCAGTTGGTGAGGTGAACTCTGGGAAGGAGAGACCTTTGTCATTAGATGCACGAAGGGCAGTGTTCTTTCCCCACTCTGCTTTGGGTTCAGATTTCCTTGATGTGTTTATGAGCCTGCCGGGGCTCGGCAGGATTTGCCTGTCTGCCCGTCCCATTTTCCTGGCTTGGGGCTTCGTTCCCGCAGTGCCGGATCAGCCCGCACCATCTGAACGCCCTCACAAGCCCCCGCAGCAGCCCTGATCTCCATTTCTGCTGGGCTCTGTGAGCCATTTCCCTGCTCTCCCTTGCTGCATCTCACGAGCACTCGTGCAAGACACCTTGGGATTATCTCAGGGCCGTGTAACGGAGAAGCAGATGCACTGTGGGCTGCCAGTTTATGCTGCACTGGCAAGAGGCATCTTGGCAAGGGTCTGAAAAACTTGCAGCCTAGAGGGGCCTTGGCACAGCCGGTGAATTTACAGCCAGGACCGGTGCTATTAGAGCCTCAGCGAAATACACTTTCAAAGCCAGGTGCTCAAAATGACGAGACTCCTGTGCCTTCCTCCCTCCTCGTGTCCTCTGCTCCCTCCATGCCCTGCGGACGCTTGGCTGGCCAGTGCCCAATTTCCTGAGGCATGAGGAAAATCCTATGTGCGCATCTAAACCCCTTTCTGAGGAGAGATGAGATTTCAAGGAGGCAGAAGGCATCCAGGATGCAGCCAGCTGAGCTGAAGGCTGTTCATGCTATGCCTTCCTCTCGTAGTTTAAATCTGCCTTCTCAGTTCTTTCCTAAATTTCTTCAAGGACAGCTTAAAACCTTCAGCTCCTGAAGACTTGTATTTTCCAAAGGAGCTTAGTAAAGGAGTCAGGCTCATAAGTGCAATTAAAATTCCCAGCTTAAACCCAAGGTTTCTTACGAAAGATCAGCCTGCTGTCTCCCATTCATTCCCAAATGCCATTCTTTACTTTTTTTATTTCCTTCATGTCCTTTGGAAACTAGGAATCCTGAGCACTGAAGTAATCCAAATATATCTACATGTGATAAGAACAATAAATTTTGCTTCTTAGCACAGGTAGTCTTGAGACCAATTTTGATAGCGCAAAATTACCCCAGCCACTGAGGCAAGAACTTGGCTCTCAACAATCCCAGCACCTGCAGACAGACCCGTCTTTGTAAGACCATAGCTCAGCTCAGCTCAGCAAACTTTCATAGGAATGAAATGTTAGCGGTGTAGTAGCACCTTACCTTGGCTGTGAAGGCTCTGAAGAAGGAGAGGAGCTAAGCGAATGAACTGCTCTCCCATCCGAGAACTTTTATACGGTTCCTAACTCTCTTCCTGAAAATGCAATAAACCCCTGGGGAAAAATGACCAACGTATTTACAAAACAGCCACACCTCTAATTATCCACCACCTTCAAAAGCTTATTCAACCTGGTTTCTTTGATTGACTTGTCATACAGTAGATTGTCTTCCTTGTGTTACACAGCTTTAATTGCCACCCTGCCCTACGCAGGTTGTAATGCACGAAGAGTGAAAACCGTGTGGGTGGCTCGACTGTCTCACCGTCATGCCAGGATGAGTTTTATATTGCAAAATGGATGGCAAAGGTGGCGCTTTTTTGGGTTTCTATCCTCCTGAAACCTCTCACCCAAAGTCCGGCAGGGAGGAGAGGTCACGATGCCCGGTCACCTCTAACTGCTCTTGGCAGGCCTGGGGTCTTGTGCAGTGGACAAGAACCACCGCTTTCAGGTCCTCGCTATAAAAAATGGCAAGTTTTTAGAATATCCTCATCACACGTCCTCTGAAAACATCTTTAAAGTTGTCTTCACCCTGTAAGACACCTGCAGGTGCCAGAAGCTTAGCAGCCGAGGGTCCCCTCTCGATCTCCTCTCTCTGACTGTGTCATTTCCCAGAGCAATAAAACCAGGGTAATGAAGTCTGTGACCACTGAGGCAGGCTCCAAGGGCTATGACTGGAAAGTGACCTGTCAAAGCCAGGTAGCGGTACAGGCCACTTTTGGAAGTCTTGGCTTATACGTCTGAATACCCCAAAAATGTAGTGTGGCTTCTCTACCTGCGTCCATCATGTCTGATTTTATAGCTGTTTCACTGATATTGACATAGTTACCACTAATTTTCATTGCTGACATTTTTCCTGGCCAACACCAAAAAGCCCCAAACAGAATTGCTCTTTTACAATTTCTGTTTTTCTAATATTTTAATTTTTTTTTCTTTGCCTGCCTCTGAAGCAGCCATTGTCTGTGATGGGAAATGCGTGCCTACAGAAGCCGCTTGGGCAAACCTTGCATTCATGAGTAAGCTGTGAGTAAAGTGCTGGCTCAGAGACCACGTACCCGAGCTCACCACGCATCTTGAGCTCACACAGCTCTTCCCTGCGGCGGGATGGGTGCACCCTGGGTGCAAAGCAGCAGACTGCTGCAACCCTGGGGCGCTCGCCTGGCCCTGGTTCAATGAGCTGTGCAACCATGGCTTTGCAACAGCCCCGTTTTTTCCTTTTCCCTCCTTTTAGCAGCTTGACCGTGCAATTTCAGCAGGGCTCACTCTGTGTTTTTACTCATTTTGCATCTTAACTCCCTCTGCAAACATGGGAGTCACAAAGTTTTGTTGGGCAGAGATTGACTGAACATCAGAAGCTGAGGGGTGGCTCCCACTTGCTATCTCTAAAACCTTTTCTTTAGTTTCTATCCAGAGGCGCCAGTTAGTGACTTTCATCAAGAAGCCAGATTCATGTTTACCGTTCAGCCTGCCTGTTTACAAACAGCCGAAGCAGAGGGGCCACGGCTTTTGCAAGCACCGACACGCACGTGGGCAAGAGTCCTGCATTATCACAGTTCGTCAGCCATGAAGGATGACTCGTTCCTCCCCTGTTGCACAATGAGTGGGGAGGAAATCTGCATGCGCAAGTGCGCATGTGTGTGCATGTGTGTAAAATCCGGCCTCCCGCCTGCTCCCAGCCTCATGCTGGAGGTGAGCTGCAGCCGCTCCAGTGTGCAGAGAAAGGCAGTGGGATGCAGCCCCAGCTCCTCGTGTTCAAGCTCTGGATGCAAGAGCATCTTCCTTCTCCCCTGGGTCTATTATATTATTATATCATCTAGCTCGGTTAATATCTAAGTTTGTGGAGTGCTTTTTGATACAAGCCTCAAAGAACCAGCCAGGTGGGACAGTGAATAAGAAATGTACTTTTAAAAGTGTTTTCTATTTTCTTTTCTTTTTGAGGGGGACAGGACTGAAATTTTCGGGTGGTTTTTGGTCAGTTAGTTGAATAGACAAGAAGTTTTTGAATGCTCCAAACTCTAATTGGTTTTCTGGAAGTCTCTTGGAAGCTGTTTGAGCTTTCTGAATTCTTTTGCTACCTTTGATGCTATCAGATGAAGTAGGGAAAATAACAGAAGTCAATAATGAAGTGGTAGATTTTAGAAATATAAGTAGATGCAAATAAATGATAACGCTGTCTAATTTTAGAATGGATTTTAATATGGCTGGTGACAAAACCTCGTGTAATGTTCCCTGCGCCACAGTCTTACAACATTTTACAGCGTGAAAGATACCCATTGTGGCACCAAACACAGGGCTAGAGCTCAGAGGATTTTGCTTTTTGTGAGCTGTGGTGTTTTACAAATATCAGGGCAAAGTTTTCTGGATTTTTATTGAGCTGAAAGGGTCAAAATCCCCACAGGTGGGTGAAAGCAGCAATGGTAAAAAATGTTTTAAAGTGTAATCTTATGCTCTTTTGTCTCCCTTTTAAATGGGCACAGATCTATGGGTGTTTTTTTCCTTTATTACCAGTATTTGAAGGAGTCAAAAAACCCCAGAGAACAGTCCCAAAACACTAAATGTTTGGCAAATACCACGTAACAACCGGCACTGGATGTTCAAGCCTCCCCCGCATTGTCCCATCAGCACAGCATAGAGGAACTATCTTCTCCCTGTGCCTAATTTAGGGCCTGATCCCATCAAAAAATGTCATGAAGCAGGTTTCTGCGAAGAAGCAAATGAGCTTGTTTGAGTTGCCTCATGCCACTGGTGCAAGCATAAGGTATACGTGTTCTGGCTTACAACATCACCTGCAATCTCTCTGGGACAGGAGCCTGGCGTGTAATTGTTTCCAGGTAAACAACATTGCACTCCCAAGGTCACGCTGTAAATAATAATCAGTCGGAAATCACCTGGGAGTTTTGCAGATCTCCTTAACGTAACTCGCAGCCTGGCCTGCGTACCCATGCAGAGGGTCTCAGCAGGTCACAGCGTTTCCATTTGATGGGAACAGCATGGGGGAAGCTCTGACTTCAGCAAGAGCAAAATTAAGAACCTTCTCTTGCTCTTGAAAACAATGTATTGCAATTCTATTAAAATAAATATTACATTTGAGTATGGTTGTAAAATATATATATAAAATGTTGGAAGATAAATCTTGCGTTGTGAAGTAGACTCCTTGAGTATCTATCTGTATTTTGAGTGAAGGAGCCAGAAATTAAAGAAATCATTCAGATACTGGAATTTCCCACAGACTATGAAGTTTTATTTTCCAACCTATGAGCAAAAGGAGATGGAGAGAAGAATCTTTTCCTGTCACCAAAGCACAAATCACTTTTCCCAGCAGTGCTTGCAGCAACGTTGCTAGCACAGCCCAATGTGAGGAATGCGAAGTTTCCTGACCGTAATGACACGGTTGGGGAAAAGCAGCATTGTGGCACATCCAGGACACTTTTGCTTGAGCCGGGGTGGCTACTGGGTCAGTCACTTCTTTTGGCTGGGGGGCCAGTGGCTGGTCTGCTTGCTCTGGTGAGCCTCTATGTTGGGAATGACCACGGGGCATTTCTGCTGCATGGCCTGGGAGGATCCACCGCCTCCAGAGCTGAGCTCTGGGCCTGAGCATGGCCCAATGCCGTAGCCCAATCCTCTGCTGTAGTACCCTGATCCACCACTGCCCCCACCTGTTGTTAAGGCCTTTTCTCTCGGTGATGCATCATATCCGTATCCAGAGCCTCCTCCCGCAGTGATGCCCAGTCTCCCACTGTGGCAGCTGGATCCTCCACCACCCCCTGAGCTGCCAATGATGTTCTGGCCTGAGTCCTCACTGCTGCACCCTATTGCCCCCCTGGTGTCGTAGACTGGGGCTGTCCCCCCTGCAATGGCCCAGCCAGACGTCCCCTCGCTGTCACCACTGGTTATTACAACAGATCCATCACCGCCACATCTGTACCCCCCTGCAATGCCATAGGTGGCCCCCCCCCCCCCCCCCCCCCCCCGAGCTGAGCTCTGGGCCTGAGCATGGCCCAATGCCGTAGCCCAATCCTCTGCTGTAGTACCCTGATCCACCACTGCCCCCACCTGTTGTTAAGGCCTTTTCTCTCGGTGATGCATCATATCCGTATCCAGAGCCTCCTCCCGCAGTGATGCCCAGTCTCCCACTGTGGCAGCTGGATCCTCCACCACCCCCTGAGCTGCCAATGATGTTCTGGCCTGAGTCCTCACTGCTGCACCCTATTGCCCCCCTGGTGTCGTAGACTGGGGCTGTCCCCCCTGCAATGGCCCAGCCAGACGTCCCCTCGCTGTCACCACTGGTTATTACAACAGATCCATCACCGCCACATCTGTACCCCCCTGCAATGCCATAGGTGGACGATGTTGGCATGGGCTGGCAGGATGATGATGTCCGGCTGTAGATGACTGAGCCTTCTCCACCACAGAAGAAGGAGCCGTGTCCCTGGAGGCTCGAGGAGCCCCCACTGCTGCCGCCGCATCCTCTGTGGTGCGAGGAGATGTCATTGCTGTAGCCCCTGTTCCGGCGGCCACATCTCCCTCGGAGACAGTGGTAAATCTGAAAGAGGAAAAAAAATAAAACCTGCACTGTTTTGCTTCATTTTTGCACCATGGCAGGTAGGGAGGCTGCAGGTAATGTGGTCAGAAAGGCAATGCCAGGCTTCAAAACAGGGCACTGCCCAGCTGTTCTTCAAATGCAAGGGTGGTTTGACTCTTACTGGCATAGCTTTTCTCTTTCTTATCTCCAGGGTGTATTTCCAGAGAATCAAAATCTGAAATATATTTTTTTAACATCTAATAACGGCCATGGTTTTCCCCACTCATCTTTATGACCGTAACCACAGAGCTGTAAAAATAGCAAGGATTATCCTTGCTTCTGTTTTTAAACTGCTGCAAGAGTGGTGGATCAAAATTTCCATGCAAGATGACGTTGCTGGCTGTATTATTGCCATCGTTGTGTAGCATCCCCAGAGGTCTTTTACATAAGGTAATTGGCACAGCCATAGAGGTATGTAACCGTTATGAAGTACAGCATAGTCTTGTTATTAAATAATATCAAAAATGTGTCCCGCACATTGGAAGGACGTTCAAAACTGCAAAGACTATGCAGTCACCACGTGCTGGTCCCACTACAGACTCATCTGGGTTTTTAGCCTGCTCAGCCCTATGGCTCCCAGTCCGGTGACCTGACTTCACCTTGCTTCCTAGTGATCTGGTCTGCACCATAGCAAGAAACCGTACAGATCCTGAGAACTTTGCTATGGATGCTCAGGCAGCATGGGTACTGCTGCAAGCATGTGTCAAGATCTCAGATGAAGCTGGCTCCCATGAATATGAAATAATAAAGTCTCAGAAAAGAGCAGACTTACCCTCCTCAGCCATTGGAAACACATTTAGAAGATAAAAGTCGACTGAATGAGGAGCTTTAACAGACAGGAACTTTTATATGGTGTTTAGCATATATGGGAAGTGAGAGACACCCTAAGGAATGGCAAGGATTTATTTACCAATCAGATTCTGATTTCAGTGTTCGCTTTGACTCATGACATTTGATCAGTATCTTTCCTTCATGCTGCTTGTTGCGTTGCATGCAGCAGTAATTGCTACTTCTGTTTAATGATCCTATTCCTGTGCTCCTGCCCTGAGCTATGGAGGACTGCTTCAGCCCCCAGTGAGGTGGCAATGCTGGGGGAGACCGGGGGAGGTGGGTGGGAGCCTGGGTGTAGGGAAGTGCCAAGAAAGAGGATTAGTGAGCGTGGGGCAGAGGGTGGTGGTGACCGGGTCCTGCTCAGGGAAGGGGCAGGGAGGCTGTGATTCAGCGGTGTGGCAATGCTTGTGGCTCGGGGTATCGCTGTAAGGGGGGTGTGTGATAAGCGAGTACCCAGGATAGGGGAAGGCAAATGCTCAGAAAGCATCTGGTGGCCACACAACATGTTGATCCCTCCGGCATCTTACTGGTAGCTCCAGTGGGAGATTTTTCTGAGGAAGACATTTGCATCCCAACCAGAAGCTTGTCAAAAGTGAAGCGTCTGGCTTGGGTATTGTGCAAGGGTGCTAGAGATGCTCTGAGAAAGCTTAGGGGCCCTGGAGAGAATTGCGGAGGTGTGAATGTCCTAACACTTAAACCCACTGTGGCTGGATTACTCCTCTAATGAACGATTATGTCTCCAAATGCCTTCCTTCTGCATTTTCATATGCTGTGTCCTTCCTCTGGCTTGGAAAGAGCACCAAGCACCCGGGACTCCAGAGAGACTGATCCGGAGGGCTGCAGGGGATATGTGCTGTGGCCATGCCAGTAGTGCTGCCCATCACGATGTCCGCGCTGCAGCCTGTGGTGCTCCAGCTCAGCCCCGCAGCACAGCTCTTGCAGGCTGGACTATGTCTGTTCAGCTCTGAGCAATTTTGACGTGGGGACAATGAGTCCCAGCCTTGGCAAAAGGCCACGTCTACCAGGAAGAAAGCAGTGCACAGGGGTGGTGGTGCTGCCCTCGGCATTTCAAAGCAGATTTCAAAAGGTTGGGCAAGAAGGGTTTAAGGCCTGGAGGCATGATTTGGAGTGTGTTGAGCTGCCTGAGGGACTTGCTGCTGGTTTTACTTCCTTCTGCCTGGCCCAGAGCTGCTTTGTCTGACCCAGAGTGTGAGATTTACCCTCTGGGTAGAGCTGCTGTGAGGTTTGTAAAGCTGGGAGAGAATTGGAAGGATGTCAGGGATGTGGACGTTGGCATAGTGTTATTGGCCACCCCGGGCAGCAACAGCTGCTATTGAGGGTGAGCCCCAATCTCTGCTCATTAGGACTGAGCCTGATGGGCTTGGTCATGTCTCCCAGCAGCACTTCATTGCTCCACAGACATGGTCATTGCATGCTGGTACCTCAGAGGACTTAGAGCCATGAGCTGGGATGGCTGCACCATGCACAGGCACCAAAAGGATGTTGGGTGCTGTGGGTGCTTGATGTTTTAGGCAGTGCTGTTACTCTATCATGGAGCCCAGGGGGAAAATGAAGGTGCAAACTCTCTGGGGCTATAAAATGGGTGCCTTTAGAGCTGCATCTACAGCAATGCACTATTGAACCCATCATCTTCTTTACAGAAGGGAGTGAAATGTCTCATCAGATAGACTTCTAGCTTCCAAGACCATAAGATGCTGGTTGAGAATACAAGAAAAAACAAACTCCCCAAAAAGGCAGCTTTGAGATATTATTACATTTATTAGATCTAATGAGTGCTCTTTGGAAAAGCAGCAGAGCCTTATCAAAGGCATCCCAACACCAGCAGCAGGGCACAAAGCTGTTAATCCTGCAGTTCTCAGCACAGGGATGCAGCATCAAGGGAAGAGAAGAGGACACTCTGGGAAGAAACAGGCAAACAGAGCCAGGTCTGGAGGGAAAAAGGTGACATGGCAGAGGCAGGGCTGTTCTTGCTGAGAACCGGGGCTGCCTGTGGCTGTTACTTCTGGTGGCTGGAGGGCCAGTGGCAGGCCTGCTTGGTCTGATGGCACCCGATGTTGGGAATGACAATAGGGCATTTCTGCTGCGTGGACTGGCAGGACCCTCCGCTTCCGTCTCCAAAGCTGATGATGATTGTGTGGCCCGAGAGAAC